CGTGTCTAGTATTCGTATCCATGCTTCTTAGACCTATATAATCAACTGGGTAAACNATATATATATATATATAAAATACATATTATTTAACGTATCGCTAACGTGTCCGTGTTCTACTTTTTTGAAAAATTTCGTGTCGGCGTGTCCGTGTCGTGTCGTATCCGTGCTTCTTAGGTTTGGATAATAGATTTGGATAGGCTAGGATTTCTTTTTTATATCCTAACCTATCCAACTTAAACCCACTCAGCCACTTAAATTAGATGGGTTAGGGATTATATCCGGTCCAAACCATTGTCTGGAAAACAAAAGTGCAATTTCGTGGGCCCCATGGATTAGATCATTTCTTTTGTAGAAGTTTACCATTCTACCCATGGGCCTCTCTCTCTCTCTCTCTTTAAAGTAAAACCTCTACAATGCAAGGATAAATATTATTAATTCCAAATCAAATATTACACCTAATCGGGGAGACATAAAACCTTACCCGTAAGAATGAATCTAAGTACATCATGATCACAAAGTAATAAAATGGAAAATGAAATTCATGAAATGGAAAAGGAAATTCATAAGCTTTCCACCCAAAAAGTTTTGCTGTAGGTGGAGCCTCCTGTTTCCACATAGCTGCTGCCACTTCATCAATTTCACTCCTCATTCTAATAGAAATAGAATCCCAAGCCGAATGCAAAGAAAAATAACTGAGCTTGTTAGAGTCCAAGAAGGCTCTACATGGCATCAATGGTAAGTAAACTTTGTATGTGGTAGCTGCCATATGGTACCAGTTAATAACTCAGAGATCATTTACACAATTAATCAAACATATTATGCTCAACATTCTAGATGTACACGCAGATGCATAAAACCAATTCATACTTCATAATTCTCAAATCCCAATTCATACTTCATAATTCATAAATCACAATTCATAATTCCAAATTCACCATTCATAATTCATAACTCCAAATTCTCCATTCATAATTCAATTCATGATACATAATTCAATTCACAATTCATACTTCAATTCTCAAAAACAAAATGAAACCAAAACACAGTATTGTTGGCTCTGAGTAGCTTGAATATTTGTAAGAAAATAATCAACACATAAATCATCAAAACGAAAAAACTATGAGTAGCAATCGACCAAGCACTTGAACAATATACCAGAAAAACATAGAGGAGAAGATGAAAAAATGTAAAAGTCATACTCAGCTAGCAGTTAAATACACTTGTTAATCAAACATAACTAACAACCTAGTATTAATAAAATGAATTCAAATTATAGACACACACAATTGGGCTAAGAAAACCCTCCGACCTTGACAGTATGTGAATGAAGAAGAAGATTAAGCTTGGGGTATGATTTACAATTGACCTCGTAACTCTCCAATATTAGGCAAGAAGATTAAGCTTGGGGTATGATTTACAATTGACCTCGTAACTCTCCAATATNTCGGGGTATGATTTACAATTGATCTCGTAACTCTCCAATATTAGGCAAGAAGATTAAGCTTGGGGGGGTATGATTTACAATTGACCTCGTAACTCTCCAATATTAGGCATAAAATAAGGAATCCAATTCCTCACAAAAGTGAACAAAGTTTCATTCTCCACTGTTTGGAATCCAATTCACTTATTGACCACCACCACCACCACAAAAATGACTCAAATCTGAAAGACAGAGAGGAGAATTAGGGTTTCAAAATCACCCACCATCACATCAGATCTGAGAGATAGAGAGGGGAGTTAATTTCATAACAGAGGTTAGGGTTTCATAACAGAGGTTAGGGTTTCAAAATTATCCACCATCGTGGTGAAGATCTCTTCTTCATTTGGTCCACTCAGGCACCCAAACCCATCCCAACAGAAACGCTGGGCTTGGGCTTCGTCACCTTCACAATGCGAGAGAGAGAGAGAGAGAGAGAGAGAGAGAGACCGGAGAAACTTACCTCAATCCAGCGATGTCGTCAACCACACAAAGCAGAAAGTTGGAGGACCTTAGATTGTCGTCTTCTTCCTCGCCTCTGGGCAACAGGCCTTGGACGAGCTCAGCTCCTTCGCGCTCTGGTTGACAGGAGAAGAGAGAGGTTCGATGCTGCGGAGAAGAGAGGAGGGGCAATATGTCTCATCCAATCCAACTAATGGATAACCCACCTTTAACCCACTATTCAAACGCCCCTAAATATCGCGGCAGAGAATTTACTTTGTACAACACAGACAGCGCCGGGCTTTTACTGGTTGATTATTACACTCTCCGTCGTGAATTAGGAAATACGGTGGGACGATGAGACATTATGTGGGCCTGCTGGGTCATCTGGCCCTTGTATTGGAATGGCCCAATCAAGCCCATGTAATATGTCTGTTTTGTAAACAACCCTTGTTTTTTATAACACTTATGTGTTTTCTTACGAAGCACCGCGATATGATAAAATTTAAAAAATAGAATATAGGTACGGCTATAATAAAATATATTTAATATTTTTATTAATTTTAACCAGTTTAATACTTATATATTTCGATAGTTCTTTAATATACAATAAGGAAAATTAGCAATTTTTTCTAGTTTTAAGAAAATATATATCGTATCGTTGTAGTATATTCACAAANGTCAAGATACGGCTATAATAAAATATATTTAATATTTTTATTATTTTTAACCAGTTTAATATTTATATATTTCGATAGTTCTTTAATATACAATAAAGAAAATTATCAATTTTTTCTAGTTTTAAGAAAATATATATCGTATCGTTGTAGTATATTCACAAAGTGAAGTGACTAATTAAAGGAATCAAAACTAATATTTACCTAATATTTAGAAGTAATTTTTGCTAAAATAATAATGTAATAACTTTATTTTATACTTTTTTGACATGTAATTGTAAATAATCCTTAATAAACACTCATGTGCCTTTAGAGTAATATGAATTTTTTGTTAATGTGTTGTATGATATGTGAATTCGAAAAGAGATGTTAAAAGTTTAACTCAAAAATTATATATGTTACTCGACCACAAATGTATCCGTGAAGTATCATAATATTTAATTATTATTGGATACGTAGAAAGTGTATCCGATACGTATCCTCGAGCATCCGACGAGTATCATATCTAATACGGTATCAGATACGAGTACGTCAACCTCNAGAAAGTGTATCCGATACGTATCCTCGAGCATCCGACGAGTATCATATCTAATACGGTATCAGATACGAGTACGTCAACCTCAACAAAGTTTCCGTGCTTCATATGTGCTTTCAAAAACATGGANAGATCACATTTACTATAGAAAAAATCAAATAAGGAAACTGATGAATTTGGAAATTAAAACATCTAAATTTTAAAATTTTCTTCTATTAGAACTCTTTCTCTCTCTATATTTTAACTAATTACCCATGGCCGAAGGCATGGAGTAACAAAAAAAATATTATTTTCAATTAAAAGACATACAAAATAAAAGAACACTAAGGACATTAAAGAACAACAAAAAGCAACAAACCTGTGCCTGAAAGCATTATGAAACATAAAAAATTGAAAATTGCTAAACTCGAGCAATTTGTGCATTCGAAATATATTTAATGGCGATTTGTTGTTTAGACTGTCACAAACACCTTTATTAACACATAAAAATGGCCAAATTTTTTCATTTGGTCAATGATTAGTTGTAATTTCAAGCTTGGTGGTGGTGATGATGANCAAACACCTTTATTAACACATAAAAATGGCCAAATTTTTTCATTTGGTCAATGATTAGTTGTAATTTCAAGCTTGGTGGTGGTGATGATGACAACGATGAAGGTGGCCAATAAAGTTACCACAAACTTTGTCAAGATAACCTCAAAATGACAAAATAAATATTTAGTACCAAATCTATGATAGGCTTCACCATTCTAACAAAATGTGTGCCAAAAAATCCATTGGCATATGATACTATTTTTAGGACGCCTTTCATATATAAATTAGAAAAGATAATTACGCTCAAATGAAATTAGTAAGCATTATTTTGCAGACTCAGTATGCCTTTGTATTGGTCCTTATAGCAAATAATATTAAAGTGACAATATATATGCAAAATGATNAATTTGATCAAATACAGATCATTCACGTCGAAACTAAACTCTATAACCTTTCATGGTTCAAACCATAGACATTCCCCTACAGGTTCTTCGGACACCTCAAGCACATGGGCTGTAATTTGGCCCAAGCCTCCATTTTGAAAAATTAGTTTCCAAACTTGAACCTCACCCACAACATATTATTTAGGCAGATTCAGATTTTTTTTTTTTAATATATTTTTTCTTGATTTACCATGAGGGTTAGATCACTCAGGTGAAGATCATCTGCTGTTAATTTTTAGCAGCAAAGGTGTTGTGTGTTCATTAAAACAGAGCGGAGGATCCTCACCCTAGGTCACTCTCATTATGTCTTGGTTGGGTTGCCAAGATGTACAACTTGAATTCATGATAAATAATCCATCATTTGAAAAATCAAGTAAAACCTTAGGGATACAATCAATTAAGCCCCGAAATTCTTTTCTATCGAGGCAAATTCTTCTTTATGAGTTCAATGTTGGGGAGTAGTTCAGGCATGAAATCAACTGAAAGAAACTTTAGAAGGTAGGTAGAGTTTTATACGCCATATCATAGCTCATGCAATCTGCCCCTGCCATCATCACAATAAATAAACCATCGCTATGGTTATGTTATCTTGACAATGCTCCAAAAGACTGCTTTCCTATTTTGCTTACAAGTACGTCTCCCCTGCATGAGAGTGAAAAGGGATTTTCCATGAATGATTGACACTTAGCAATCTCCCCTATACTCAGCTTCTCTCTCTCTCTCTCTCTCTCATGCTTGTGATGCAGTGCACCTACCAGTATAACAGCAAGCTCTCCGCATGAAAAGAAGCTTTGTAAGGTGAACAAGGAGACAGTTTTTGCTGTTTCCTACGTTTCTTTTTCAAAAACACCAAAGGTTGCAACATATAATCATTTTCTTTTTCATTTTCTGGGATGGGTCTTTGGAATGAGGTGATCATAATGTCTGGGATAACGGTGCAGTTTACCATTGCTATCAAGTGAAGTTTGTAGGATTACCGGTTATGTTCTTTATACCTTTTTTCCAGATTTATCGTTCTGTTGTTTTTCCAACTTTGTGGCATCAGAAGAATAGCAAGTAAGGGAAAGCACCATTTTCGGGAAGGTATTATCCTCGAACCCTTTTTGTGCTTGCGAATCTACTAGAAAAAGATGTTGATTTCATAAGCACTTATGCTTTATCAAACACTTTATTGTCTTTTGATTCGCTGACGAACTTTTTATTGTTAACAAAAAACTGGGATTCCTTTTTTTTTTTTTTTTTTCCGGTAAGTCCTGGGATTCCGTTTGTTTATGAGAAAATCCTCTGAATTTCAACAATCCTATGCTCTCTCTCTCTCTCTCTCAGTGATCAGTGTTTTGTTCCAGGAAACATGAACCTCGTGCAAAACCTCATGGAGAGGCTAAGACCCATTGTAGGTATGAAAAGCTGGAACTACTGTGTTTTCTGGAGATTGAATGAAGAGCAAAGGTTGGTTAGGAGAAAGATATGTTTATCTATCTTCCTTTTTTTGATTCTCTGCCTGTAGTGTCTCATACTTGTTTGGGATGTGTTTTAGGTTTTTTGAGTGGATGGGCTGTTGTTGTGCTGGAACTGAGAACTTGCAGAATGGTGGAGAAGAGATTCTCTTTCCTGTTTCTTCTGTTCTTCCTTGCAGAGATTTCATGTTCATGCACCCAAGGACCATATCTTGTGATCTACTAGTGCAGTTACCTTCTTCTATGCCTCTGGATTCTGGGTACACGTCCTCTCTCTCTCTCAAAGTATAAATATTTCTATGGGATCAAAGAATGTAACTGAGAATAACATTACAATTTACAAACCACAGATTTCATGCACAGACCTTTATGTCTGACCAACCCAAATGGTTCAACGTCTCTATGAACTCAGATTCAAATGTTTCCGAAGTAAGTTTCCAGTACCGTAGAAGTATAGAACCATTGTGAATACACGATACTCCAAGCTCCCACTACTAGTACTCTAGTATACTCCTTGCATTAACTAATTACTTTTGCAGGAAACAGTTGGGACTAAGGTTTTGATTCCGGTGCCTTTTGGACTGATTGAGCTATTCGTTGCTAGACAGGTAAACTGTTTCTCGTTAGTTATTCCCTTTCCTCATTCAGTACCAAAGTAGGGACCATAGTGTACCCTTCAGTAAGACAGACTAACAGACCATAAAGAATTGATTCTCCTTGTATATATGCTGATGGTACTTCTGGTTGTTTTCTTTAACAGATATCTGAAGATCAAAATGTCATAGACTATATCAAAGCGCAGTGCAGCACCTTCTTGGATCAGCAAACTATAATCAATTCAAGCAATGTGGATTCAAACTTCTCGGTGAACGTAAATGCAATCAGTGAAGTCCAATCAAAGCCGCCCTTGTTTTCTAGCGGAAATGATCAGAAGGATCACAACAGTTTTCATCAGCCACCAGTTTCCCCAGCAACTGCAATGGAGAATAATTTGAATCTGCCATATGACATCTCTATTGACAGAATCCATTTGTGTACTTCTCCAATGAACTATTTGCACCAATATAATTTCACAGAAAATCGATCCAAGACCGATATGTTCATGGAAGGGACAAATGAATCGTTTCCTTCTGACAAGCCATTGAACCCTTTTCAGTCTTCTCCAGAAAATAAATACCAAGATATGGATTCATTTCAAAAGTCTCTGATGAGCAATATGGGAAACGTGCATGGTGTAGAGAGCTTAGGTAACATGGAGCAGCAAGGAAATGACAAGGATTCAATGAAAAACGAGACAGGTCGATCAGATTCAGTCTCTGATTGCAGTGATCCAAATGATGATGAAGAAGACACCAAGTATCGACGGAGGACAGGAAAGGGTCCTCAATCCAAAAACCTTGTTGCTGAGAGGAAGAGAAGGAAGAAGCTTAATGATAGACTCTATGCTCTTCGGGCTTTGGTACCCAATATTTCTAAGGTAATTAACCATTCTGTTCAAAATAATTTCAAATTCAACACACAGTTCACAGTGTCATTATTGATGCACAAACAAATGCAGATTAGTCAAAAATATATATATATATATATNTCGGGCTTTGGTACCCAATATTTCTAAGGTAATTAACCATTCTGTTCAAAATAATTTCAAATTCAAAACACAGTTCACAGTGTCATTATTGATGCACAAACAAATGCAGATTAGTCAAAAAAATATATATATATATATATATTATTGAGCACAATTAAAAAAAAAACAGGATTTCTGTAACTATAATTCACTAAATATCTATATTCCTTGAAATCCTTTTCGGTGAAGGACTAAGGATATAAATGTTCTTTGTTGATACCGGTGTCATATTCGTGATTAATGAAAAATCAATCATTGCTTAAAAGACGATTCCACCCACTTTTAATTATATCAACAGGAGATTCTCTTAGTCGTGGTTGGACACTTAGTACGGACCACAACCAAACTCAGGCCATTATTCTATGGACTGCGCTCCTAGNTCGGTGAAGGACTAAGGATATAAATGTTCTTTGTTGATACCGGTGTCATATTCGTGATTAATGAAAAATTAATCATTGCTTAAAAGACGATTCCACCCACTTTTAATTATATCAATAGGGGATTCTCTTGGTCGTGGTTGGAAACTTAGTACGGACCACAACCAAACTCAGGCCATTATTCTATGGACTGCGCTCCTAGGTTAATAAACCTCTTATGTCTGACTCAATTGCCATATAAAATACTCATGAGTGTCGGCTAGTGGATCCCTTTAGTAATTTCTCTAATCAATTCTTAGTAGTCAGTGCATCTTTGCCACTAACCCTGGAGCGCTATGGAGGCATTTTACCACCCTTGGGAACCCCACGAGCCCCACGAGGAGCACCAGAGCCACAATGAGTAACCACACAGCCAGCATGGTGCCCTTTTTGCTAATGGCCCCAATTCTTCTTGCAGTTGGATAGAGCTTCTATACTTGGAGATGCCATTGAATTTGTGAAGGAATTGCAGAAGCAAGTCGAAGATCTCCAAAATGAGCTAGAAGAACATTCAGACGACGAGGGTGCCAACAATAACCACAGCAATCTGACCAACGGCCAGCCGGATATTCTACTCCGAAATGGTACCAATCTTGGACCAGGACCTGAACATGAAAAACTAGGCAATGGGTTTCATATGGGAGTATCCGGCAATGGCGGCACTGAGCTCTTGAAACAAAATCCGGACTCAGAAAATACTGGTGACAAGGTGCAGCAAATGGAGGTATAACAACATATATTTATCTTTTTTCTTTTTTCGATCTTGGTGCAACGGTAATTGTTTATTGTGACCTGAACCTCTCCAAACCCTGCAATGGCAGAAATCTCATGCACTAGTACACTTTTTTTTTTCTTTTTCCCTTTCAATCTTGATTTATCGGAATATTAACACCATTGCAGCCGCAAGTGGAAGTGGCTCAACTGGGTGGAAATGAGTTCTTTGTGAAGGTATTCTGTGAACACAAGGCTGGTGGATTTGCGAGGCTGATGGAGGCTTTGAATTCTCTAGGCTTGGAAGTAACAAACGTGAATGTAACTAGCTTCAGAAAACTGGATTCCAATGTTTTCAAAGTAGAGGTAATATCGATACTTGAAAAAAAAAGGGTGAAATACGTTTTTGATCTCTAAAGTATGTATTTAGTGTTTATTTACTTCCAATTGTTCAATTGTGTTTATTTGATCCCTAAGATTCATAATTTGTATCTACGTGGTCCAATCCTAAACGTTTATAAAAAAATCGTAATGTTTTTTGTCACGCGCCAATCACATGATTACTAATTTTGTGTCTATTTGATCTCTAAAATTTCTAATTCTATATCTATTTGATTCCACGTAATTGACGCGTGACCAAAGCTGTTAATGATTTTAACGTTTGAGATTGGATCGCATAGATTTAAATTACAAACCTTAGAGACTAAATAGACACAATTGAAAGATTGAGAACTAAATAAACACTAAATTCATACTATGTGAGATTAAACGTGTATTTTACTCAAAAAAAATGAAAATTTTCCACCATAAATTTAATGTTTTGTTTCATTTTGGTGATACACAGAAAATAGATAGTGAACTGGTTCAAGCTGATCATGTAAGGGACTCCTTGCTCGAGCTAACACGTAACCCAAGCAGAGGCAGGTCTGAGATGGCTACAACGTCCGAAAATGGCAATGGCATGGATCATCACCATCACCACCTGATCCACCTCCATAGACGCCAAATCAATTCTCACCACCACATGCACCACTTTCATACCAACACATGACTGCTCGGAATTGCAGATGATTGTTGTTCTTTTCAACTTCTCTTCTTTTTCGTTTTTCAAAAAACTATCATGAATTGAGCTACATTGACATGATTACAGTAAGATGAATCTGCTTGGGTTTTATATTACTGTTTTATCAGTTATAAATTAGTATTTTTCATGTTTGTTTACAAATTTTAAAGGTGGTCAGAAGATGGTAGTGGTTGGTTAATGATCACCATCTCTACTGTTGGATCTTAATATCACGGGTTGAAAAAAAAATTGTGCAATGTATGACCAAAATGAGAGCGAAACAAAGACCAACTCTAAAACAAAGGTCATATGCTTCTGTGCTAAAATAGACCAAATTTCCTTTTTTCCATGTTTTATTTTCGAATTAGTATGATATTTAAGAAGAATGTAGGCATGAGCCAGGGATATACATTTGGGTTGGGTTGGATGAATACAAGATTAGATTAAATTTGACTTTTATTACATGTGTTTTATAAGGGTAAAAAAATATTTTTTTTACAACTATTAACGTTGATGATTTTAATACCTATTAAGATCTTGATTTTATTTGTCAAAATGTCCGTGTGTTATTTAAGTTATGCGTATTTGGACCTAAAATCCAACCTAATTAGAGATGGTGTGTGAAATTTTTTGGTGGCGATCCTATGTACGACTTCTAATATGATGACTTCTAATTTTTATTTATTTTTTTGGTCATCTTATTTCTTTTTAATTTATTCATTCAGTCTATCAGAAGGCCCACCTTTACCCAAACCCACGACTCAACGCTACGACATTGTTTAGGAGATATCCAGTCCATGGTAAAGCCCGTTTCTTAATACTTGATAGACGACGTCGTTTGGACTTCCCCTCATCCAAAGCGAAGTCTACCAAATTTGTCCAAAACCCTAATACCAGCAGAAAAACCTCCACCTCCGCTGAGTCTACTCTCTCTCGCGCACATACACACACACACCCGCGCAGATACACATATATAGTTATATATAATCAAAAATCAATGGCATTTACCGGTGGTCGATTTCGGGAGCTATTGAAGAAGTACGGAAAGGTGGCATTGGGTGTACACTTTTCAGTCTCAGCAGCCTCAATCACAGGTCTCTATGTCGCCGTCAATAACAACGTCGACGTCGAGTCCATACTCGAAAAAGTAGGCGTACGAGGCGTCTCTAATACCAATCCCAAAGAAGAAGAAGCAAAAACTCCTACACTGCCACAAACAAACTCCGAAACGATCGATGGGTTCGTTCTGGAAGAACCAGTACCAGTGCCTAATCAAGAGGTTATGGTTCCGATGGAGAAGAAGAAGAATCGAACCGCTGAGTTGGCTGCTTCGAGTGGTGGAGCCCTCGCTTTGGCGGTGTTATTGAATAAGGCTCTATTTCCGGTGAGGGTTCCAATTACGGTCGCACTTACGCCTCCGATCGCGAGGTTCTTGGCAAGACGCCGCATTATCAATAACAGTGTATAACTTTTATTCGATTATCATTTCAAGTTCTCTCTTTTTTTGCCATATTTTATTGTAATTTCAATTCAAGGAAGAGAGAGATAATATAAATGGAATTTTCTGGATTATCTCATGGCTAGTCGTCGTTCATTGTGATTTAGTCTGATGTGTTAGATTTGGCTATAATGCATTTAACATGCTTGGTCATTGTAATGAGAGATTTGGCTTTTTGGATCCTATAGGTTGGTCCTTTCATATCTAGTCTGCATCCAATCCTCATTTTCAATCGTGGTGGTAGACTTGGATACCAATTGATATGAACCTATGAGTAGAACTTACAAAAGCTATTTACAGTGCTAGTTAAACCTTCAAACCCCTCAAAGGCAGAGTTTAGGAATAAATCGATTCCCATAGTAATAAATGCAGTTGCAGAGGAATTGAAATGAGCACTGCCAGGTGGTTCTGAAGGAGCTGAAACATGGCACAAGTCTTTCTGCTGAAAAGGACAAAGGGAGAAAACATTACAAATGGAAACACAACACAAATCTACGGGCTGATGAATTTGCACAATCATATGGATGCTGGTATTCTTGTCATTGGACAATGAAGATGATACAGTCATAATCATCCTGAAATGGAATCATGTTAACACACCACCTTCAAACAGAGGTTTCCCGAAACTCACTCCACTGCATCCAAGCAAAATTTCCATGGCGTATGAGAAGCTCAACCCCTACATGTGAGAAAAATGTTAAGACTGTTGAAAATGAAAGTCCTCTTCTATATGAACTATACAATGGCAACATAAGATAAATAATGCCCCTTAGCTTATAGATGAGAATAAGGTATGTCAAATTTACAACTGTATTGTGTGTAACACTTGAGACTTGGAATATGATTTCAACCTTGGAGTGTTTCTTATAAATTGAAGTAGAAATACAAGCAAAGCTAAAGCAAGAAGGTTCTTCTTTACCAAATTTATGAACAAACAATGGGACTTCACCAAAGAATCTCAATACACCCCAACAAAAATTGGTCCATCATCCTGAATAATAAAGAAAAGTTGATATTGATGCAAAACCCCAGACAAAATAACATCACATTGCTCAACAATATCAACCGCAATTTTATGCTGTAGTGTGAATCAACAGTAGTCAGTCAATGAAGTTGTATCAAGAGAATAATGCACTGCAAAGGCACTTCCACATTAGTGGTACCATCAGTTTTCCGTTTCGCATGTAAAAATCCAATTTTTTTGTACCAAACTCGACCTCCCTAGCCATTGGAAAAGTTCAATCTCCACAGGAAAAAAGGAGACATATGATCCAATTAGGCCTAGAATTTTGCAATTGGGTTTACAGATGGCGTCAATCTAATAGGTTGCGCATCATGCCTTTCTAATGTATCTGTAAAGTTCTGTTCCATATGAGGTCAATTGCATGAGGACACATGGTCTCTAGGAGGATGGCTAGTAGTAGAGCTGCTGAAGGAACAAGCAGCCAAGAAGCTGACCGAATCTGTTGAAATTCAATACCTTGAGTAAATTTAATCTGAGTTTTCACTTTTCGCAGTTTTAATAAATATGCAGAGATCATGTCTGAACCAAATAACAAGCTACCACAGATAAAGTTTGTGTCCAGATTATTAAAGACAAAAATCTTGAAAAAATATCTTGTAGGTTGCAACTAAACGGGCGGTGAATAGTGATATTTGTAGAAACAGTGTAACTGTGAGAATAAGAAAACAGTTTTATTTTCTCTCTCTGCTCATCTCTGTTTTGTTGCCTTTTTCCTTCTTCAAATTTAACATGGTATTAGAGCTTTAATAAAACTTCTTCTACACGTCAATGGAGAATTCTGCACATTCTTCATCCTCACCATCACAGACATCTTCATCCTTGAGCTCAATCAAAGATCCATCCCATTCCTTTTTCTTGCATCATGGAGATAGTCCAAGAGCTTTGTTGGTATCTCAGCCATTAACAGGCGAGAATTATAACTCTTGGAGTAGATGTATGTTTATGGCCTTAAGTGCCAAGAACAAGATGTGTTCCATTGACGGATCAGATTCCAAGCCTTCAGATCAAGCAGACCCACTTTACTATTTATGGATTCGTTGCAACAATATGGTAATTTCTTGGCTTCTTAACACTTTGTCCAAAGAAATCGCTAGAAGTGTGCTTTATGTAAATAGTGCTAAAGAGATCTGGATGAGTTGGAAGAAAAATTTTCTCAAACGAATGATCTAAGAATTTTTCAATTATAAAAATCAATTTCGTCTTTAACTCAAGAACAACAACTCTCTATTAGTGCATATTATACTTGCCTTAAAGGTCTTTGGGATGAATTGATTTGTAGAGCTTTGAAGAAGTTGGTTGCATATCAACAACAGGATTATATAATTCAGTTTTTGATAGGATTGAATGACTCTTTTAGTCATATACGAAGTCAGATTCTTCTTCAAGATCCACTTCCTTCAATTAACAAGGTGTTCTCTTTGATTCTTCAAGATGAACGACAAAGGCAAATCACATCTTCTACTTCTTCTAGTTTGATTATGTTGCTCTTCTTAGTAAATCAAACTCTTCTGCATAAAACAGTAGTAAACAAAGTTACAATAAGGCAAGACCAACTTGCTCACACTATGGAATAACAGGGCATACTATTGACAAGTATTATAAACTACAAGGCTATCCTCCTGGATACAAATTCAAAGTGAAGGGAAATTCAAACTCTTCTGCACAGCAAGTTTCTACACCGGTCTATGGAGATAGTTCAGTTGACAAAATGAATGCAAATTCACAATTATCGATAACTTAAGACCAGATTCAGCAACTATTGTCTCTTCTACAGACATAGTGTAAAACTAGAGAACAACCTGCAGTAAACCAAATAGGTAGTTATGATAATGAATCTCTACTCAATCTATCAGGTAATGCACTTGCTTCCTCTTATGCTTTTTCTTCACTGACTGATCACTCAGTGTTACCTTCACTTCATTCAGTCCGAAATTCTGAAATTCATAATAAGATTCCATGGATAATATCGACACAGATGCCACTGATCATATAGTATGTTCAACATCTTATCTTGATTCTATTACATCCATTGTGCACATTTCAGTTAAGCTACCAAATGGTAGTAAAGTTTCAGTAAGTCATGTTGGGACAGTAAGATTATCAGACAAAATTTTACTGAAAAATGTAGTGTGTTCCATCTTTGAGCTTTGATCTACTTTCCACTAGCAAGCTTATTCATCAAAACTCTTTTATGTTTCTTATTCTTGGCTGGTCATTGCTTTGTTCATGACCTGTCAACATGGAAGACGATTGGGATGGGTGAAGAAAATGATGGTTTATACTACTTCCTGCATGAACCTTCAGCTTTTCATTGTTTACTTTGCTCACAAAAGAATCTTCCATTGTTTCTTTTGTTCAAAAACCTTCAGCTTTTCATTTTTTGACATTATAGACTTAGACACTTATCTGACCAAAGACTAGAACTGCTACATAAACAAATTCCCACTATTACTTCTTCTAATTCTGATCATTGTAATATTTGTCATTATGTTAAGCAAAATAGACTTGCATTTCCTATTAGTCATACAGCTTCACTTGTTCCTTTTGAGTTGATACACTGTGATATATGGGGTTCCTTTTCCACTTCTTCTTTGAATGGTTCTCCATATTTTTTAACCATTGTGGATGATTTTTCTAAATGCACTTGGGTGTATCTAATGAAGTACAAGTCAGAAACAAGACCTTTGCTTGAGTCCTTATTTGCATTGGTCAAAAATCAATTTCAAAGGTGTATTAAAATCATTCGAACTGACAATGGGGATAAACTTGCTATGACTTCATTTTTCTCTACTCAATGAGTCATATATCAGCATAGTTGTGTGTTGAACTCCACGACAAAATAGAGTGTGGAAAGGAAGCATCAACATCTTCTTATGGTGGATAGGGCTCTTAGGATATTGAATTACATTTTTCCTTTTTCTTTTTTTTTAAATTTTTTTTGGAAGGGGAAAAGGGAGAGGACTTGAACTCTTGACGTCAGGAAGGAAGACAAAACCTTCACAATGTAAAGAGTATTATTGGATCAAAAACTCATTTATACGATATTGAATTAGATACACCCGAATGCATTTAATTAGATTCATCTGGGCCGTCCATCTTATAGGATATTAATATTACTAATTAATGGATTATCGAATGTAGTGACATTGTTATATTTTCTTTTTCTACACGTTATTCCAAGTTATAAACTTGTTAAAGTAAAGAGGATGATGCTTGCTTAATGGGAAGAGAAAATAGAAAGGTATATTCTATTGTGGAGAATTTTAATTAACTTTAAAACTAATGAATTATCGACTTAAGTAATATTGTTCATTTTTCTTTTATAATATGTGACTTCAAATTATAAACTTGACAATTCTTGCTTTGGGAAGGACAAAAGAGAAGACATAGCAAGTTGTAATGAACATACACTAAAAGTGCCAAATAGTTGGCTAGTTCCCCTATCACTATGGATAAATAATTTGGTTAGGACTTGGTCCTTTAAATTAGCGCCTTCTTTTTTAAATTAATATTATAGAATAAATTGTCCAATAATAATCATTAGACTATATAAAATATTAATTACAGAGCACGAAACAAATTGATTCATTAAAAGTTATTAGTTGTTAGAGATTAGTAATTCATTAAATAGTAAATATCAAGTATAAGAACTTTCGTTGAATTTGATCTCTTGGAATATGTCTTGGTGGATATAAGAAATTCATCATGTTTGTCTACGATCCACAGCACAGCTATGCACAACTAATAAGGTATCACATCAATTAGTTAGAAATACAAAAATTGTTGTTAGTTTTGATGTATGGAAGGCAGTGGTTCGTAACTTTATCGTGTCCCTTCTTTTTTTGGATACTTCTATTTAATTCAATTCCTATCGTCTCATTAAAAAAAATTATTAAAAAAAAAAAATCAAACTCCTGCTTAAAAGGCTATGAAACAAAAATAACATCTTTTGTTTTCCTAAATTTGAAAATAGAATGTACAGGAGATCTCAATATTTTTAAGGAAGCATGAGTTAAGTCAATAAAGGGTGGTTAAACTCAAGCTAGTCATACAATCAAAAGGTTAAATTGGTAAATTACTCTATTAAGCAAAATACAAGCTGAGTTACTGCTAACTTACTCTACAAGAGTGAGCGGGTAAAAGCTCTCTCGTAGATTAGACGTGAACCGGAGAAGATGATCGTATGTGTCGCCGTCGTCGGCCACCAGGTGCGCCTTCTGCCAAATAAATTTCTCTCATCCATAATATATGTGTGTGTGTGTGTCTCTATCTCTCTCTATGTGTATATATATATATATATATATATATATGTTGGGCTAATGTGCAATAACAATCTGGNTCCAAAAACCCCCCCCCCCCCCCCCCCCCCCCCAACCAGCGCGTGCCTGCGGTAGGAGGGTGCAAAGAAAAAGAACTTCTATAAAGAGGGGAAATTGTCATGTTATTTTTAGGTTATTACTGCAATGACAAACTCAAAACTTAGAGCTATCGACAACCCCCACCAGTTAATACTGTCGTATACCTATTTCAGTAAAAATCTACAATTATCAGAATAACATGGGGTATAGTAGTAGGAGTATAGTTTGAACTTAATTAATTGGCCGGCTACTAGAGGGTTTAACCGCACTTATTATTATCAGCCATTTATTGCAGTCAAATGGCTCTCAGCAGAAAAAGGTTAACTTCCACTCAAGGGCTTCAGCAACTTGGAGGTTCCTACCTCCCTCATCAGATACATTTTATCCTCAAACAAACATTAAAAACTAAAAATTGGAAGGGAACCCACAATATGAATAGGAGCCCTTTGCAAGTTCAATTTTAGGAGAATAGGACCTCCTGAAAATCATATGCATAGCCATACAGCATTCATATAAACAATGACAAAGAGAAACTGCAAGATAATTGCTTGAAGCTAAGTTGCCCCTTATTATCCTAAGATAACCCTATTACTGTCCTAATGAAACACTACATGTTAACCTATGCAAGTACCTAACACAAGCAAGCTCCATTATATTAAGTTAGAGGGCATGAAAATACTGTTCAAAGCAATGGTCAACCTCTTTCGCATTATGAAGGGCATTCATGTCACCATCCTCAACTGTCTCCCAGCTAGCCGCGTCATCACTCACTTCACTTCCAGCAGTTATGAACTCATCCTCATCACGTCCAATGACATGTATTGCTTGGGGCCCAACCTAATATCAAAGCAAAAATTGTGTTGATCAAGAACTGCATCAAACTCCCTCACAAGTGGAATGAATACTATCAGATGAGTGAATATATAGACAAACCGAACAACAAACTATTCATTCTCCTGTAGTATTTGATGTCAGTGGAAGGAAAACGAGGAGAAGAATAATTGAAATTTCACAACCAGTATTTGTGAACAGGTTGCTAATTGGAACAGGTTGTGAGGGTCGAAGGGGCCCAAGGTGGATAATGAATCGTTTTTATGAATCGCCTGA